CAGCGCCTTTCTAACTGTGCCTGCCTGGTTGTCTTCCTTGTGTTTAAGGGCGTTACCATTGTGAAGCCGATCGTGTACGGGAACGTCGCGCGGTATTTTGGGAAGAAGAGGGAGGAGGATGGCCACACTCACCAGTGGACGGTGTATGTGAAGCCGTACCGGAACGAGGTATAGCCGGGCTGCTCGGGGAACGGGGGTCAGGCGTTGGAACAGCTGCCCGGGGAAGTTCGGGAATCGCCATCCCTGGGAGTGTTCAAAACGCGTGTGGATGTGGCACCTAGGGACGTGGGTTAGTGGTGGCCCTGGCAGCGCTGGGTTAAGGCGTTAGAGGTGTTTTCCAGCCCAAGCCATGCCCTGTGCCATGGGGAGCGCGGGCAGGGTAATGCCAGGCGAGCAGCACTGGAACGGGCCGGGGTCTGAAAAGTTGGGCTTTGAGAAAAGGGCAGAAAGGCCTCGTGGCATAAGCAGAGGAAACTAATAGGCTGGTGGGTTTCCCAAAGGGAAAAAGATGAGGAAAACATATTTCTTTTTACGTTTTTGGAGTAATCTTTCCAGGTTAGGGGAAAGAGTGGAGAGCATTTAGGGAGACAGTACTGACAGACCTGTGTGCTGGTACTAATTTTTGGATTCACCATTTTGCTTTCTGTCTGTGTTTAAACTCAGAAGAAATCCTGTGCTTGTGTCAGAAGGAATGGTAGGCATGTAGGATAGATGACTAAAGAGTAGGTTGGTGTGCTGTATGAATAATCAGAAATACCAATGTTTCTGTTTTAGGACATGTCTGCCTATGTGAAAAAAATTCAGTTCAAGTTGCATGAAAGCTATGGTAATCCTTTAAGAGGTAGGTTTTGCATTTGAGCATTTGTTCCTAGAACTGGGCTTTTGTTCCAGTTTTTTATTCCTTTTATTATTCCACTAAGGCTCTGTCATTGGGTTAACACTTCTGTGTTTCCTACTGTAGTTGTTACCAAACCACCATATGAAATCACCGAAACAGGCTGGGGTGAATTCGAAATAATCATTAAGATATTTTTCATTGATCCAAATGAAAGACCTGTAAGTACATTGAACTTTTAACAACACTTAAATAATTAATTATGGTGGCCTGAAGCTGTGCTCTAGGATATTGCTGGTCAAAATAAGTCAGATAAGCCATGGAAGTAATAAAGCCTGTTCTTGCAGAAAGTGAATTTAACGACTGGCCACATTTTCCTGTTTCTGTGCTTTGCTACAGGCATTCATGACTGCTTTTCCTGCACTTGGCTTCTCTCACATTTACTAATACGTGACTGCATGTTGCACCTTACTTGGTTTGAGCACACGCTGAGGCTTTCTCTTCCATGTAGCTTCCTAGTTCTAGGATATATGAATATTTTAACTTTTTTTGGTCAGATCAAAATCAGTCAAAAAGCAGTAAAGGTACTATGCTAGCGTTAGTCTCTGCCCTAAGGAAATCAGGTTAAGACATTCCTGTAGTTGCATAAAGCACTGGAATTAATTTTCTTTCCTTCCTGCATTTTAGACATATCTTGTAGGTTTGTTTATACAGGTTTATGTAGGAAACTCGATTACCCTGTTTTAGGGGAAGAGGATGTTTATTTCTGAAGGACTGAGTTACTTCTGTTGCATGAACTGCAGCAATCCTTTTCTATATCCACTTTTTGCTAAATGGGAGGGAAACTGAATTTTATGTTTTTCTTGAATATGTGACGATTGATAGAAAGGGCTTCTTGTGCTGTTGTACTCAGTAGCATCGTGACTTATCCTAATTCTGTTCACAGCTTGACCAAGCTGTCCTAAAGTTGGTTGGGTGTTTTTTTCTTTGCTGCTGTTCTTGGAAGGCTGTTTCAGAGCCTGTCGTGTTCTTCCTTTCCAGGAAGTACCAAGTGGAGTAAGGTATTGCTCTGTTCCAAGACCACTCATGGGGCCTGTTTGTGGAAGGAGTGAACTGTGGGCTGTGTGTCCTTTACCCAGGCCATGATCCAAGTGGTTAGTGGTTCCTCAGGGCTGGAGAGAGGGCTTCCATTCCTCTCTCCACCCTGCCATGTGCAGTGCAGTAATGGAAGAGTAACTTCATAAAGAGAGATTTCAAGAAAAAGCTATTCACAGCCCCCCCGGTGTTTCTCTTTCACGAGAAGGGATGATAAGGTCACAGAAAGCACTTTCTAACTGATGAATTGGGAAAGTTGGCTTGAATTAAATGACCAATTTGGAAATGTTTGAGAGAAGGTGGTAGTAGTAGTAGCTTTTATACAACACTCCTAAGCCACTTGCCCAGACACTTCTGAAGTATCAAGAAACCTTTGGCTAATTGGCATGTTTTAACAATTAATACTGAATATAAGTAATTCCACTGAAGCTATATGACATTTATTTTTGCATTCCTAAAAGATTTTTAAATCCTATACAATTGTTTTGTAGGAACGAATGCTACTTGTTGATATCTAGAACAAGATTTCTATTTCCCTACAATTGTTAAACTAATAAAATTCTGTCTTTGCATAGGTAACCTTATATCACTTGCTGAAGCTTTTTCAGTCGGATACAAATGCCATCCTGGGGAAGAAAACTGTAGTTTCTGAATTCTATGATGAAATGGTATGAATGTTTTTAATGTAATCCTCACTTTATTTTGAAGACTATTAGTGATACTATGTATTTTTCTCCTTCATTAGATATTTCAAGATCCTACTGCAATGATGCAGCAGCTGTTAACAACATCTCGTCAACTAACACTAGGTGCTTATAAGCATGAAACAGAGTGTAAGTTGAAAATTAAAATATTTTAATTTTAGAAATAAACAGTAGTTGGTTTTGATTTTATTACTTTTCTTTTCCCAGGCTGTAACAGTACAATGGATTTGGATGCTGATAAAAAGTGGTATTTTTACATTAAATTTAACTTCAGTGGTTACAATACATGGAAAAGGAACCACAGAATGGTGGAGACTTGAAGGGACCTCTAGTGCCATCATGTCCACCACCTGCTCAAGCAGGGCCACCTGCAGCTGATCTGTGTCCAGACAGCTTCTAAATGTCTCCAAGGATGGAGATTCCACAACCTCTCTGGTCAACCTATGCCAGCACTCGGTCACTTCCACAGTAAAAGTTTCCTGATGCTCAGAGGAACCTCTGATGTTTCAGTTTGTGCCTGTGGCCTCAAGTGCTGTTGCTAGGCTTCACATACTCATAGTTGTCTCTAATTTCCCATTTGCTGTCACCATGTCAGGTTTTATTTAATCTTAAAGAAAAAGCAAATGATTTCATGAATTGTGTAACTCCATCCACAAAACTGCTGAGCTGAGGGCTGAATGAAGCCACAAAACAAACTTTCTGAGTTTTTTTAAATCCAGGTTTGATTTGGATACCATTTTGATTACAATCATTGAATCTCTAAGGCTAACAGCAATAGATTTTTTTTTTTCAGGACATACGCCATCAAAATTACTGTTTCAGTTAAAAAAATTAATTACAACTTTTCGTGGTATTTACAATATTTATTTTTCTTTATCACCACCATAGTTGCAGATCTTGAAGTGAAAACCAGGGAAAAGCTGGAAGCTGCCAAAAAGAAGACTAGTTTTGAAATCGCTGAGCTTAAAGAAAGACTAAAAGCAAGTCGTGAAACTATCAACTGTTTAAAGAATGAAATCAGAAAACTTGAAGAAGATGATCAGTCTAAAGATATGTGACAAGTGTGGACTTGATAAAGAGCCTATGCTGAAAATGGGAGGACTTCAGTCATGGAACTGTATGAGTTCAGTTCTATAATCGAGACAATGAGAATTTCACTGGCAAGTTATTGAAGTTTGTGGGAATCAACTTTACAAATGGAAGAAAAAAGAAAGAATGTATCCTTGTTTTATAGTTAAAATCTGTGGGTACTTAACAACTTATTTCAAGTAGAAGGGGTCTCAGAGACCAGATTTACTTCTTTTTTTTTTTAAACTGCGTTTGAGTCGTATATGAAAACTTTGTATTAAGTCTTGTATTAGTTCAATGTTATTTTACGAAATGCTGGTGTTTACTTTTTTTACTTGTTTTTTTTCTACTGATTGTTTAGAGGTGCATCTTTAGAGCTAAAAATAAAATATGCAATTTTTTATTTTAATATATTTTGTCTCCATCCACCTGCAGAATTGTAAGGAACAATTGTAAATAGCATATCCTGATTTAAAGCAGAGGTTGAAATACAGTCATAACGCAAGTTGTTTAAGTCTGGTTACAGTGATTTTTGGCATGGCTGTTACCAGCACAGTGAAAACACTTTCTGAAAACAGGATTTTAAATAACTTCTATATCTACAGGTAAGAGTTTCTAGCCTCAAAGCTGCTCCAACATATATAAGTGCATCAGTTCTACAAGCTGTGCACAGAAGCAGGAGATTATTCCAGTCCTGATTTGTAGGAGTTTAATACTTGTACTGTACTACAGTCACTTCATCAAACATTGTCTCTGCTGCTCCTTCCTTCTACCACTCTTCCCCTGTTCCAGCATGGGTCCCTCCTACAGAGGACAGTCCTCCAGGAACTTCTCCAATGTCAGTCCTTCCAATGGGCTACCACTCCAGCATGGGTCCCCTGCAGGGTCACAAGTCCTGCCAGCAAGCCTGGTCCAGCATGGGCTCCTGTCTCCCCAAGGCTACAGGTCCTGACAGGACTCTGTTGCAGTGTGGGCTTCTCACGGGGTCACAGCCTCCTTCAGGCATCCACCTGGTGTGGGGTCCTCCATGGGCTGCAGGTGAATCTCTGCTCCACCGTGGACCCTCATGGGCTGCAGGGGCAGCCTGTCTCACCATGATCTGCACCATGGGCTGTACAGGAATCTCTGCATCTCCTCTCCCTCCTTCTCCACTGACCTCAGTGTCTGAACAGGTGTTCCTCTCAAATATTCTCACTCCTCTCTCCACTCCTGTTCTCCCCACAGCAGGTTTTTTTTTTTTCCCTCTTCTTAAATCTGTTACCTCAGAAGCCCTACCACCGTGGCTGATGGCCTTGGCCTTGGCCAGCTGCAGATCTGTCCTGGAGCCATCTGGTGTTGGCTCTGTCGGACGTGAGGGAAGTTTCTGGCAGTTTCTCACAGAAGCCACCTCTGTAGTGCCCTCACTACCAAAACCTTGCCATTCAAACCCAGTACATATTCTTAAGTCACTAACATGTTTTCCCCCTGAAAAATCAGTACATGATCTTAGCAATGCTTTGAGAACAAAGCATTCATTTCTTCCTATTTGAAACAAGTGATGATTGGCTTTTACTGTGGCTTGGTAAAGATTTAGAACTGAATTTAAGTTTCATCACTCACTATGTAGACTTCAGTTTTTCATTAAGAATAGTAACAAACTTGGCATATTTGGTTTATGGTATGTATAGACATAGATGAGGAACAGCTTGTACCAGCAGTGTCCACACAGATCCTTCCTAGCACCGCACACTATCCACGTTTTTCTGGCTAGCTAAGTGCTTTGGTTTATTGATTCAGTAGCCAGTTTCCTTTTAAGCAGCAGCTGAAGAAGAATGTGAGAATTTCACTTCAGCAGAATGCCATTTCCAGAGCTGTGCATTGAAAATAAGATTGGCATGGGTCACAGTATATTGTGCATGCTGAAACAAAAATGGTAATGGAAAGCACAGTTTTGGTGATACTAGGTTATATGTGACATTAGATTTGTCAGTTAAATTACTACTAATGAGGACTAACTCAGATGGAATATTAAACAAGTTCTGCAAGAGCTGTGACTAACATGAACAGGTCTGCTGAAACAGACTTGAACAGACCGAGAAAGAATAGAACCTTTTGAATCCAATGTCTTTGTAGGAGCCTAAAGTATTCTATTTGTTTACATCTTTAATAACATCCAATAAACAGCCTCCTATCCAACTTTACAGAAGCAATGATCCTGGCTCCACTGTTAGTAACCATCAGCATGCTTGACCAGTGATGTAGTTTTTCTTTGTGGTTAGTGGTCTTCTTTTCCTCCATTTTTCTTTCAACTTTTTGGTTTTTTTCTCCTTTGTGCTCTCTGCAAAGATCACAGAAGAATCGTTAGGCTCCTCTGTCAATAGTAAGGCAAGAAAACAGTCCTAACACGTGTCTGTGCTGATCAGTTACTGTTGATAGACAACAGGAAGACTATCTTGTGCTTTCCAAAGTTCCCTCTTATGTTCTGTGCTTTCATTGGAAAATACTTTCTTTAGATGCTGTGCTCTGCCTATAAGAGTTGTTGATGCACACACCTGAGTGTGTGTACGCCGTAGATCTACAGTAAGTGCTGACCTTCTAGTGCATATCATTTTCAAAGTTACTAGAACTGAAATAGAGTGGGGCACCTAAGGACACAGTTGCATTTGACCTCCATTGCCTTGAAGAAAAACACAAACACTACGCTCTGCTTTACTGCTGGCAGTTCTACAAAGTTCCAGACAAATAGTTATGGTTTGTGCTTACCAGGGTCCTAACTTAAATGCTAGCTATTTTTATTGCTGAGACTGACTTCAGACTGTGGTTTCATCCTGAGTTAAAATTGTGAACAAATGTATTTAAATCTTGCTTTGCAAAGGAGGGGAAAAAACTCTCACTGTGCTGTATGTAGGTACACTTTGATATTGCTGAATCGCACAGTAACTTGTTCAATTTTTTACACTGAAGCTTTAGGCTCCACTTGAAGTAACCCTTTTGTAGGTAAAGATAAAACATGGTTTATTTTACTAATGAAGAATGTTTACTTCAGGCATCAAATATGGTAAAGTAGTAGTGTCATTGCCTCTTCCACTATAAAGACTTGGGGGTTTTAAGTGTTTCAGCTAAGACAAATTAACACTCATCACAGTAATTTCAGACACTGACTGGTTACTCACTACCCAGTGTTATGTATCACTAGTCCTTTTCTTACCCAGCTCCATCTCATATAATTTAGTCCTTTCCTTTGAGTTTGGCACACTGTAATTTACTCTAAGACTGTGAAGTCTTAGAGTAAGGCTGTTGCCTGGGAGGTTTCCCATGAAGAGGGACATGTGTAGATACAGGAGATGTGTAGATACAGTTAAGTCAAAGATTTACTTGAGCATTTTTATAGTTAGTAGAGATGGGACTAGAAGGACTAGTAAGACTAGAAGGAATATTAAGTCATCCTCTTCATTTTCTTTCTAGACAGGTGCTGGTAATAACACCAACTCTTTGCTGTTTATGCATTTAATTAATAATAAATATACCAGTGTTTGTTTACTTCTTAATGGGGGTACAGATTTAAGAGAATTTCAGGTTGTTTTCACACATAAGGTTGTTTTCCAAACACCAGGTGGCAGGTATGTCCAAAATATTCTCCAGTCCCAACAGCAGTTTAATTATTAGGATTTTGGAAGATCTGTGATATCTTTGGTTGATCTCATTTTCTTTGAGATTTGATCATCTGATTAGACAACTTGTATTTGTTTCTGTAGAGATGACCAAATTATCTCTTGCATGTTATGAAACTGTTTGGCAGCCTTGTCAACAAATCGAGTGTGATGTGCCAGGAAGCAAAAAAAAAGTGTTTGTTTACAAATTTTGTTCATTTGTCAAGGAAAGCAGCTTTCAAAATGCAAATCTTAGGGGTTGTTTTTAGATTTGTTTGTTGTGTTTGTTTTTTTGTTTTTTCTTTTTCAGGCCAAGATTGTGTGACAATAACATAACTTAGGCAGTCTACTGGACTGCATGCTTTGCTTGCACTCAATTGCTTGTACTTCAATTGCAGGAACAAAATGGCAAGATTTTCCACAAGTAAAAGTAATTAATCTTTTAAATTTAATGTTAATAAAGGCAATAAGCTTCTTTGACTAATTAATGCTTAATGAATACTATGAATGAACCTTTGGCTTCCAAGTGTGTTGAAACTTCTAATTTTCCTGAATATAGCAGGGAAGAACAGCTTAAGTAAGGGAAAGAAAAGAGAATTAGGATGGTAGAAAAGAATAGCAACAATGAAAGATTCCTGTTATGTATTACGTATTTGGCTGGGATTTATTTAACATTCATTTATGATATATTTATACTATTTCCATTTTAAAATATTTTAAACTAGAACATGAAATCACGTAAGTTTCTAGTGAAACAATCTTGCCTGTGCAATAGCCAGTAAACATCCAAAATTAAAATTTACATTTAGATTTTTGTAGGAAAACGCTCAAGAATGCCAGGTGATTAGGCCATAAAAAGAAGTAATTAGCATTGCAATATGCAGTATTTGTCCTACTAGCCCCCTAATAATTACTATACTTTGTAAGGTGTTCATTTGTTAAACTAGAGGCTGGCCCTTCGTATTCCCACAGCTGTTGGGAATTCTGTACTTTAGGACAGAAACAAATTTCACCTGATCTACTGGCTGCTGCTTTTCTAATACTTTCACCTCAAGTGTTCAACATCTTTTTTCTTCGATGTCTTACTTCTGCAACGTCTGGCAGATTTCATGGTTTTTTCAGTCTACAAATCAGCTTTATTTCAAATAGCACATTTTATTTAACCTCTGATCTAGAATGTTAATAAAATGCATGGGTTTTATTTTAACAGGTTTTTAAGTTTCTCAGTGAAACATTCTGTTATCTTTAATCTTAGGATCAAGAAACAGGACATGTGACTAAGAAAGGTCTTCCTCACCCGCTGAATTAAGCAGACAGAATTGCACCTCAGTTGAAATTACTCCAAACAGTAGATCATAGAATCATTTCACAGTTAAATCATAGTTTCTAAGCTTGCATCTTTAAGCAGTACCATGCTGGGTAAATATAAGTATTTAAAGTGGGTAAAACCAACAAGGTTTATGTCTCTGCATGTAACAAGGGTGACTACTTTTGGACTCAAAATTTGGAGAATGAATAGTGCTGCACCACTGTATTGTTCCATGCACTAAGTCTGTTGAATGTAGCAGGACCTACATGTGGCAAGAATTAATCCAGGTAATTTTTGTTTTAATCACTGTCCTGATTAAAGTGATAACTGTGTCCCACCTAAAGCTCCATTCAGGTCCTAAGCCACCTGAACTCTGAGAAGGTGATAAGGAGAATGTTGAGAAGTTAGGTTTGAGGAGCTTGCATTTAACTTTTGGTGTTATTTCCTGGTTTCTGTATGGAAGTTTATGCA